CGCCAGAAGGGGGCTCCCCCGATGGTCCCGGCGGCGCAGCCCGCATGCGCCCCCGCCACCCATGTCGGCACCCCCTTCCCGCGTTTCGTGGTCCCACGAAAAGGGTGCTCCCCCAAAGATCCCAGTGGCGCAGCCCGCATGAGCCCCCGCCACCCATGTCGGCACACCCTCGTACGTCTCGTGGCCCCATGGGGAGCTCCACCGAATGTCCCAGTGCCGCAGCCCGCATGCGTCCCCGCCACCCATATCGGCACACCTTCTTACATTTCGTGGCCCCATGGGGAGCTCCACCGAAGGTCCCAGTGGCGCAGCCCGCATGCGTCCCCGCCACCTACGTCAGCACACCCTTACATGTTTTGTGGCCCCATGGGGAGCTCCCCCGAAGGTCCCAGTGGCGCAGCCCACATGCGTCCCCACCACCCATCTGGGCATACCTTCACGCGTTTCGTGGCCCAATATGGAGCTCTCTCGAAGGTCCCAGTGGCGCTGCCCGCACGCGTCCCCGCCGCCCATTTCGGCGCACCCGCACGGTTCGTGGCTCCATACGGAGCTCCACCGAAGGTCCCAGTGGCGCAGTTCGCATGCGCCCCCGCCGCCCTTGTCGGCATACCCCTCATATGCTTCGTGGCCCCATACACGGAAGGTCCCAGTGGGCAGTTCGCATGCGTCCCCGCCCCCATAATCGAGCAGCTCCACGGGCGGCCCCAGCGGCGCAGCCCGCACGCGTCCCCGCCGCCCCTTTCGGCAGACCCCTCCCGCGTCTCGTGATCTCGTATGGAGCTCCACCGAACCTCCCAGCGGCGCAGCCCGCATGCGTCCCCGCCGCCCACGTGGCGGCGCACCCGAGTGCCCGCTGCCTCGGGCCCCCTGCGGGCCCGCTGGGGGGCGGGAGCGCAGCGGCCCAGCGGCAACAGAGGGGGGTCGAAACAGCTGGAAAGGAAGCGGATTTTTTGTTTTAAATATTATGGTATAAACATATTTCACATATATATACATATGTATATATATATATATATACACAAACGGTTATTTCCATGTGCTCGCCTGCCTGCCGGCGTGCGCACAGCGGCTCGACACGCTGGCCCCGCGTCAAGGAAAGGGGATCCCAGTGGCAGCGCCCGCAGGGCGGCCCCGCCCCGTGCTGGCACACCCCTCGGACACTCCTTGGCCTCATCGGGGGCTCTACTTGCGGCTTCGTTGGCAGCGCCAGCATGGCGACCCCGCTCCATTTCGGTACACCCTTCACGCGCTTCATGGCCCCAGAGGGGGATCCACCGAAGGCGACATTCACAACGACGGTACTCACAACTGCATATGGTTGGGTCCTCCGCAAGGCCGATTCCAACACGTTGGATCTCTGGGAAGTTGTAGCGCAGGCAAGCATGTGCTCTTCTGTGCCTGCCATCGGCGCAGGGAGTCTTGAGCAGCGCCCTTTTTTCAGGAGGGGAGAAAACACACAGACACATTTAATCGTCGATTCCCCAGAAAAGATGGGAAAATGTGGAAGTGGGGGGGAAGACTAGAACCCAGAAGATCTGGGAATCATGGGGAATCCTGTTATCTGTATACATTTGTTTGTGTGTCCCGAGGCCCCTCCGTTCTTCTCGGGCCTCCCTGCTGGGCCTGGGAGCACTCCTCCCGCGGACCCTGTGCAGGTCCCCGGGGTGCCCCCGCGCCCTCCTCGCCTGGCAAGTTTCCCGGGAAGGCCCGGGAGGCCGCCAGGGAGGCCCCCCCTCCCCGGCCCGGGCGTCCGCCGAGGCGCGGTGTTCCGCCCGCGGCCCCGGAGGTCCCCGACCCTCGAGAGCCCGACGTCGGGGAAGCGCGTCAAAGATGGAAAGCGCGTGCGATTTGCGGCCCGCGGCCGCAGAGGCCCCGGCCCCACTCCCGGAGGAGGAGCAGGAGGAGGAGGAGGAGGAGGAGGAGGAGGAGGAAAAGGAGGAGGAGGAGGAGGAGGAGGAGGAGGATGAGGAAGAGGGGGAGCAGCAGCAGGAGGAGGAGGAGGAGGAGGAGGACCAGGAGGAGGAAGAGGGGGAGCAGCAGGAGGAGGAGGAGGAGGAAGAAGAGAAAGACGAATAAGAAGAGGAATAAGAAGAAACATAAGAACAATAAGACGAATAATAATAATAATGATAAGAAGAAGAGGGCGAACATGAATAATAATATGACTCCTAAGAACAATACTAAGCATACTTAGAATACTAATAATACTAATATCAATCAGAAGAAGAAGCATACTAATACCAATAATAAGAATAATAATAATGATATTAATAAGAAGAATAAGACTAATAATAATACGAATATTAAGATTATGAATAATACGAAGAAGAGTAATAATACTAATAAGAAGAAGACTAAGAATAATAATACGAATGCTAATACGACAATTATTAATAATAACACGAATAATTAGAAAAACAATTATAATAGTAATAATAAGAAGAGTAATATTAATACTTAGAAGAATATCAGAATATTAATACTACTACTAATAATGTTAACAATACGAATAACATTAATACTACTAATCATACTCATAATACCATTAATCATAATAATAGTAGTAATTGTATTAAGAACAATAATACGAATACTAATATTTCTGTTATTATGAGTAATAATAGTACTAATAATGGTACTAATAATAGTAATAATATTAATAATACTAATATTAATCGTAGTAATAATAATACTAGTAATAATAATACTTATAATAATAATACGAATAATAATAATAAGAAGAGGAGGATGGGGGAGGAGGAGGAGGAGGAGGAGGAGCAGGAGGAGCAGGAGGAGTAAGAGGAGCAAGAGGAGGAGAAGGAGGAGGAGGAGGAGGAGGAGGAGGAGGAGCAGCTCCCTCGTCCCAGATCCCAATCTGCTGCGTGCTCCCAAAGGCCGAGCCCGCGGAATAGCGGGTCGGAGAAATAGTCAAAAAATAGTGGGGACGATGTTTTGATTTTTTTTGACTCTTTGGGGGTATCGTTTGAGTGCTCTGAATTAGTCGCCCCCAAAATCCCCCTGCAGAAGGACATGCCCGACCTCACCACAGCTCGGACCTCTAGCTGCCGGTCGCAACGCTCGGGGCACCCCCTGGAACGCCCTCGACGAGGCGCAGCAAACCTGCGGGCATCGGCGAAGATGCCCCAGCGCTGCATGCTGGACGTCCCAGGCGCACCCAAATCCGCGATCTTCAGAGCCTCCGTCTCCTCCTTCTCCCCCTCCTCCCCCTCCTCCTCCCCCTCGTTCCCCTCCTCCTCCTGCTCCTCCTCCTCCTCCTCTTCCTCCTCCTCCTTCTCCTCCTGGCAAGAGCTCCCGCGGCAGTCCTGTGTTCTGGGCGCCTCCCAGCTATGGGTCCGAGCAGATGGGTCGGAGGATCGCCTCGTGTCCCCGATGCCTCGGCGGCGGGGCTCGAGGTGGGGCCCGATTGTCTCCAGGCCGACGGCGCTGGTGCGTCGCGATCCTCCGACCCCACTTGCTCTTAAGGTGGGTCTGTCCCTCTACAGGAGGGAAAGAAGCACACAGACACAATGAGTCGTCGACTCCCCAGAGCATGTTATCTGTGTCTATTTGTTTCTGTTTCCCAGGGCCCCTTTGCAGGAGGGGTCTTGAAGAATAGGCAGAACATAATCTGGGGATATTTTTCTCTGATTCTGGACCATCTTTGAGCATTTCTGGAGTTATCATTATTATTAGTATGATTATTCGTATTACTATTATTATTATATTTATTATTATCAGTATTATGATTGTTAGTGTTATCATTTTTATTATTACGATCAGTATTTTCATCGTTTTTTACTATTACTATTATGATGCGTTTTTTATTTGTATCATCATCATTATTATTAATGATATCATTTTTGCTGTCATTAATAGTATGATGATGATTATTACTACTATTCTTACTATTATTACTACTACTACGACTATTATTATTATTATTATTATTCTTATTATTATTATCATTATTATTACTATTATGATGATTCGTATTATTATTATTATTATTATTATTATTATTATGTGCCCCCGCTTCCAGCGGCACCGTGCCGCGCGGGCGGCCCGCGCTGAGCTGCGGCGTAAGGTCGCCCTGCCCTCCTGCGTGAGCTCAAGTCGGGGGCGTGCCCCTCTACAGGAGGAATGTGCAAAAGCAGTTCAAGAAACATAGTCCGGGGGCGATTCTTTTTGACCATTTTGTTGGCTCCCTCCCCGAGTTTTGTCTGTGGAGGTGTGTGTATGTGTTTCTTGGAGCGGTCGTCCGAACTCCGCCTCTAGGGGGACGTGCCCGACCCAGGCGCGAGCCCCTCGTCTTCTCGTCCCTCCTCTGGGAGGCCTCTGGGGGTGGCGGCCCCCGGGGGGCCGAGGGCCCCGGGCAACCGCCCCCGCGGCGCAGGTGCCCCACGTGCCGGGGGCTGCCCGGGCTGCCGCCGGAGAGGCCACGGAGCCCGCGGGCGAGGCCGGGGGCGGCTTGGTGGTGAGCTACCGCGGCTGGCGCGTCTCCGTGGAGCTCCCGCCGCCAGGCCTCGACGAGCGAGAGGAGCAGCAGCAGCCAGAGCCACGACGATGCTGCAGCGTCACAGTGCACAGTAGCGGCCACACGTGAGAGCATGGAGAGACTGATGGGCAGCGAGATAGCAAGAATGCCAGTAGAAGGAACACGGAGCACATTGGGAAGAACCGGACGGATCACATGTGTCATGAGGATACTCGTGCCAACAACGGTCGTGCCAATCATATTCGTGGCAACGAGAGGAAGCGGCGTGAACACACACACACACGCACCTTCGAAGGCCCGCGCAGTTCTGGGGTCGGCGCCGCCCCCTCTCCTGGCGCCAGGGAGAGAGAGAGAGGACGGCGGAGGCGGTCCTGCACCCACCCAAACTGTCTCCGCGCAGAGCCCCGAGAGCTCACGCCGGGGCCGCTCTGCCCTCTGGGGTTCAGGAGCCGCGCGCCAGGGTTTCGTCGGGCGTGTCCCTCTACGGGAGGAATCCACATTTATATGAATAATTCTAGTTTTGTATACACACATATATATATATATGTCTATACATGCGATTTTTTTTGTTCTCTCTTCCTCTCTCTCTCTCTCTCTCTTTCTTTTTTCTCTTCTTTTAATGGACTATTTTTGATTTTTCTGATTTTTCATTCACCGCTTGCATGAGGACACGCCCGACCTGGTGCCAGATGGGGGGCGAGGTGGCACTGCACCGATCCCCAAGACGTCTCCGCGCGGACCCAGACACTCCAGAGAGAAGAAACACGCCGCAGGCAGGAACATTTTTGGCGCCCCGCGCGGATTTCTTGGATCCGCGCTGGGCCCACCCTGTTTGTGGCGTTTTTTTTTTTTTTTTTTTTTTTTTTTTTTTTTTTTTTTTTTTTTTTTTTTTTTTTTTTTTTTTTTTTTTTTGTTTTTTTTTTTTTTTTTTTGTTGTTTTTTGTTTTTCTAGACCTGCGGCCTCCTCGTCTTTTCACTGCGACGTGCCCGGAAGGCCCGACCCTTCTCCGGGGCTGGGTCTGCATCACGAGTCGTTCCTGACGCCCCCGGGACCCGGCGAGGGCCTCAAGGGACCGAGAGCGGATTTGCATTTTTTTCAACACGTTAGCTTTCTGGGGGCTTCTTTTCTCACAGGCTGGATCTCAGTACGTTCAGTGCGTTAATGTCTTGATGATTGTTCCATACGCTGGGTCTCAATACATTCAGTGCGTGTTTGTTTCGTCGTTTTTCTCACTTTGTGGAATCTCTGGGGACCTCCTGAAGCTCACGCTCGTGCCACTCTGCCCTCCTCGGGCGGCCGTTTGGGACGATCCTGTCACCACGAGGGCGCTCTCTGCGATGCGCAGCCGCTGGAGTGCACCCCGAGGCTGGAAAGCCGCAGAGAGCCGACGGAACAGTCCGAGAACCGCGGGCCACGACTCCTCCTTAGCCTATTAATTCTCGCGTTGCCCTCCGATTCCTCCGCGACGTCGTCGTCGTCCTCCTCCTCCTCCTCGTCGTCCTGAGCCTTTCGTCGCCGTCCTCCTCCTCTCCCCTCCTCCTCCTCCTCCTGCTCCTCCTCCTCCTCCTCCTCCTCCTCCTCCTCCTCCTCCTCCTCCTCCTCCTCCTCCTCCTCCTCCTCCTCCTCCTCCTCTCGTCTTCGTGCTGGTCCTGCCTCCTCTTGCTCCTCGGCCTCCTCCTCTCCCCGTGGCTGTCGTCGTCCTCCTCTCCTTCCCCCCCCCCCGCCGAGGCTCGGAGCCCGCCGCGGCGGCCGCGGCCTGCCTCGGCCCCCTGCTCGCGCAGTTCCCCGAGGACGCGGCCCTGCTCCGGGACGTGCCGCTCTGCGCGCTGCGGGCGGCCGCGGAGGGGGAGACCTTCGCCGCCGCGGACGTGGCGGAGCACGTGGCGGCGGCGGGCGTGCGGGAGCTGGTCGCGTGCCACGCTGCTCCAGCCTGCCTTCGCCTTGACCACCAGAAAGAAGCTCGAGCACCAGGAAATGGTGCCGAGCCTCGAGGGTTTTCGCGCGTCAGGCCCTGGGAGGCACGCGTCCGACACACTGTTTTTCGACACCCTTTCGATGCTCTTCCGGGTGCTCGAGGTTATTTCTGGGATGTGGTCCTTAAGTACGATGGGAACAGCATAAGTCGTGCGCTGCGTTCTTCCCTCCTCCCCTGCGATCCTGGCGCTGCATTTTTCCACAGCGGGCGGTTTCGCTCCATGTCGGGCCCCGGGACCCTCGCAGGTCGATCCGGCTCGAGCGTGACGCAGAAAGATGGGGTCCAGGGCTCCGGGCGTGATCTTCTGCGATGTTGCAATTTCTCGGCAGCGTCGCTTCTCAGGGTCCTCCTCCTGATTTCCTGATTTCCGGACGGCATTTGTGCTCTCCGAGCGGTGCCCCTCCCCCAGGACTGGCCCGAAGCCAGCCCTGGGGGAGTAGAATATTGATTTGGGAAGGCTCACAAGCAGACAAACAGAGATGAGAGAAAGAGGAGAGGCATCGCATTCTCGACATCAATCATAACTGTGAGGAGGGAGTGAGGAACGAGGGAGATGTAGGCATGTGGCGGTGAAAGTGGCGACGGCAAGCCGCAAAGGCCCAAGGGCCTGGTCGTGGTTCCACCCTCTTTCGGATCGTGTGGCCCTTACGGGCCACCGCCTTAGAGGGTGCCCGAGTGTCCCTGGCAGGGGTGCCCTGGTGGTTAGAGGACGGTTGAGATAGAGGGATATTGTAGCTGCCAGGCAGCGCTGTGCGCGCCACGAGGGGGGCTAGCCGCCGTGTGCAGGTTTATGCGGCAGCTGCGCGGTCGTCCTCACTCGAGGCGCCGTCAACTGAGCACTGCTGAAACAGGGTAGGACGTAGTCTGAAGACTGCTCGATGGTAGCTGGGCGGCGGATGAGAAGGCGACGGCGGTGGGTGCGGCGGCGGCGGCCCTGGCAACGCTCGCCGGTGTGGAAGGCCCAAGGGCCTCCCCCTCTGCTCGTGCCCCCCCCCCTCCCCCCAGGCCACCCCGAGGCCAGCGGCGGGATCCTTCGCCTGCAAGCAGGCTTAGGGTTCCCCGCATTCGCCGAGCGCGAGGCAGGCCAGGGCCTTCCTGGCGGCGGCATGGCGCCGCGCTCGCCTAGGGCTGTGTAGCCGTGCCACACACGCCAGGGAGTGACAGAGGACTCTCGTCAAGGTTTAAGTCGGGCGTGTCCCTCTACAGGAGGAATGCTCAAACACAGTCAAGCAAGCTTTCTGGGGACGATTTTTTATTATTAAAACTATCCTTGTCAGTTTTTGTATATTTTTGAGTATTGTTTGTTTCGTCCAAAAGCCGCCTGTAGGGGGACATGCCCGACCTACGCCAAGGTGGACGGCATAGGTCTTCGCCTCCAGCACATAGGACCCACCCCAGAGCGTCCACCATCCCCATGACTGGTACCCTCCCTTGCCGAGGCAGGAGCAGGGTGCCCAGATCACGGGGGTGGTGGCCGCTTGGGTGGTTTCCACCGCGCTTGGGGTGGTTTACGCCATCCGTGGCGGTGGCACCCTGTGTGCGATGTCGTGCTGGCCCTCCCAGTGACCAGCCCTGGGTTCCTCCCCGAGATGGTCGGCAGGCGGTCGGGGGCCGCGGCTGCTGGCGGCTGGCAAGGGGTAGGCGAGGGCCCGTGTAGCCGGCTGTGCCACAAGCGGGGAGGCTGGCGTTTCTGTCGATGTTCGTCGCTGTGGCGCTGTTGAAGCGAGGAGGTAGTGCGTGCGAAGGGCTCGCCTCGGGGGCAGTGGACGGCTCGCTGCCATCTGCCACGGCCGCCCAGGCCTTTGCCAGGGTGGCCTGTGGCGAGTTCCCTCGCCTTCCCCCCCCGCCGCCTTGGACGGAAGGAGGTTGACGCGATGCAGCGGGGGGAAACGGGCACGAAAAGGAAACCAGGAGAGTGGGAAGATTGGAGGTTGGTGAGGCCGTCTCTCAGCACGTTGTGGGTGGGAATGCCCCTGGCGGGCCCACTGATAGCACACCTCCATCTCCTTCCTCCACCTCCTCCACCTCCTCCTTGTCCTCCTCCCTCTCCTCCATGCCTTTTCCCGATCGATGATTCCTCCCTGTCGCGCTTCAAGGCTGGTCGAAAGGGCGGGCCAAGCGTTTCGCTCTGGACTTCCTCACCATTGATTACGACCCGGATGTTTCAAACAACTGGCAATTGTTTCACAGATGGAGGGCGGGTTGCTTCCAACATGTGGATCTAGCCTTAGCGCCGTGCACATTCGTTTTCAATTTCGTAGGATTTTCACGGACTGAGGGCGGGGCGTTTCTACAATGTGGCTTTCGCTTCAGCGCCGCGTGTACCCGCTTTCACAAAGTTGCAGGAGTTTAACGGATTGAGGGCGGCTCGTTTTCAAAATGTGGCTCTCGCCTTAGCGCCGCGCGCAGTCATTTTGAAACATGCAAGAGTTTCACGGATTGAGGGCTGGTCGTTTTCAACATGTGGCTCTCGCCTCATCACTGGTCTTCCTGCTCCTCATCCTCTCCCTCCCCGAAGCTTCGAAGCTGTGCACAAGTCCGCGTCGATGCGGATGCGCCGATGCCCTCGAACTTTCCTCCTCCTCTCCTTCTCTTCCTCCTCCTCCTCCTCCTGTCCGTGCTAGGATGGGGTCTCGGATTCGGGCGGCGGGTGTGCAGGATCTGGTCGTGTGCCCAGTCGTCAGACACCCAGACCTCCGACGAACTTACCCGTTTTCTGTATTTTTCAGTATCTGCGGTCTTTTCTTCGATTTCGGCCTCCGGTGCCCGTTACTGGGCCCCAGGACCACCACACATGTATTTGGGACGCGAGGCTACCCCGGGGGAGCCGGCCGGGAGTTCTCGAGCACGTGGCGGCGGCGGGCGTGCGGGAGCTGGTCGTGTGCTCAGATCCGGGCTTTGCAAACTTGGTCACACGGGGCGCGTTCGCTGGGTTTCGGGCCCCAGGGCCCCCACAGATCGACGCGGCTCGGAAAAGGACGCAGACAGGCGGAGCACGTGGCGGCGGCGTGCGTGCGGGAACTGGTCGTGTGTTGCGTTCTCCTTCCCTCGTCCTCCTCCTGCCTGCACTGCGCCGTGGCCTTGCGCACGCGGCCGCCGCCCCGGCAGCGCGAAGGCGGCCCGTGTGCTCTCGGAAAGCGAGAGGACGGCACGAACATGGACTTTCGGAGGTCCGCGCGGATTTTTCTCGGATCGGTGCTGGAGCCCCTGGCGGCGCCGCGGCCAGCGCCGATATGGGAAATCCGCGCGGACCTGCAAACGTTTGTGTTCCGAACGGTGGGAGCAGACCGCAAGGACGGCCGTCGTCGAGCGACGCATTTTCTGGCACGTGAATTTTGAGTCACTGCAACCTTGTATCTTTGGGCAGCGGCCAGGGCAGACGCCATCTTGGCCGCCGCGCCAGCACTGCAGCTGATGTGTCGTAGGGACACGGCTGTACATTCGTACAGACATACATGCATGCATCTTGGCATACATACAGACATACATCCGTACACATTTACATCCATTCATCCAAACATAGAAACATACATACGTACATACTTACGTACGTACATACGTACACGCATGCATGCATACAGTCATACACACCATACATACGTACATGTATGTATGTGTACACAGACCTATGGATAGTACATACGCACACACATATTCATACTTACAAACACACAAGCACACACATTCATATGTACGTAAGTACATGCAAACATACATACGGACACATGCACATACATACGCGCATGCAGGTATATATGCATGCATACACATACAACCAACCACACACAACACACATACACATACACATATACATATACACATTTACATACATGCATACACACATACATACACATACACATACACATATACATACACACATACATACATACATACATACATGCATACATGCATGCATGCATACATACATACATACATACATACATACATACATACATACATACATACACACATACATACATACATACATACAGACAGACAGACAGACAGACAGACAGACAGACAGACAGACATACATACATACATACATACATATATACACACGTACATACAACCATACACGCATGCATACATACATACATACAATTGTACATGCATGCGTCCGTCGGCACCTGCATACATATATACATACACAAACACATACATTCACACATACAGAAACACATGCAGGCAACACCCGTCTATACACACAAGCATACTCACATCCACGCATACGTGCATGCACACAGGCAGAGACAGACAGACAGACAGACAGACAGACAGACAGACAGACAGACAGACAGGCAGGCAGACAGACAGACAGACAGGCAGACAGACACACTGACGCTTTTTGTCCTCCGTGTCGGACAGCTCCGTGGGCGCACGGCCGGCCCCCCCCGTGGCGTTCCGGCTTTCCTCCGCCGCCGGGGCCCGTCTTCGCCCCGTGATTGGGGAGCCTCGGGACGCGGGTCAAGGACAGGGGGGCATAGGCACAGGGGGGGATGCATCGACCCCCAGCCGCCCATTCACCGCCCATGGGGCCCCCACAGCCCCAACCTGCACGTGAGGGTGCGGAGCCACTATCGGGGGCCTATCGCCGATCGATCGGCGATATATCGCCGATTCCAGGTCGATGCATCCCCCCTATGCCGGTCCCCCCCCCTACCGTTGCCCCTCATTGAGACGGGCAAGCGGGGGTCAGCCAGAGCGTCCGACCTTGCAGGATCCTGCAGGGCCAGGGTCGCACTGACCCGGGTCTGGGTGCAGGATCTTGCAGGATCTTGCAGGTCCTGACTGACCCGGGTTTGGGTTGGCCTGGGTCAGAAGATCCCCGAGTGATTCGGGCCCTGGGACCCTCACGGGTCGACCCTGCTCGAGAAAGGGCGCGGAGAGACGGGATAGGATTCCGGGCGGGATGTCTCGCAGCGTCGGATCTCAGGGTGCGGCCAGTTGTCAGACCGTTTAGTGTGTCTGTGTGTGTGTGTGTGTGGGTGTGTGTCTGTGTGTGTTTGTGTGTGTGTGTGTGTGGGTGTGTGTGGGTGTGTGTGTGTCTGTCTGTCTGTGTGTGTGTGTGTCTTCCTTTGGAGGAGGGCCCGTCGAGACAGCGGCGACCTCCCCTGCCGTTTCTGCGCCGTGCTCTTCTTGGGCCTTGGACGGCGTCTCGTCGCTACGTCCGGGCCTCGCCCGGAGAAAATCGGATCCAGATGGACTCCCCGGAGGAGGAGGAGGAGGAGGAGGAGGAGGAGGAGGAGGAGGAGGAGGAGGAGGTGAAGGTGGAGGTGGAGGAGGAGGAGGAGGAGGTGGAGGAGGATGGAGGATGGAGGAGGTGGCCTCGCCTGGAGGGGTCCAGGGATGCACCTTGAGCGGAGTTGGTCCGGGTTGGAGAGCCTTCCTCCGATAGCGGGCAGCCCGGCGGGCGTCTTGTGCTTTCTGCTCTTGGTGCGGATCGGAATTTTCCAGGCCTTCTAGACCCATTCCCCAGGACCGGTTTCTCATCCCGAGCCGTTTTTGGACGGTCCCGCGGTCCAGGAGACTGTTTTTTTAGGGTCCGGCGATAACCCGGGTTATCGGGCTTGCCCCCCCCCCTCCCCCCCACCCAGGATAATCTAACCTTGCCGGTTGTGCAGGTCCGGGGTGGGGGGGCGCGGGCATACGCAGGGCTGCCCACATTGCGAAGGTTAGGTTATCGGCTGGCCCCCTCCTCCCCCCAGATAACCCAGGTTATCGCCGATTCCCCCAAAACAGTCTCCAGTCCGGGCCCCCCCGGGGGGCCGACAAATGGGGACATGCCTCCCGTCGCGATTTTTTTCTCTCATGCGTCGAGGGGGTCGAGGCCCGTCTCGCTTCCTCCACCAGGCTCGCCGCCCGCTCAGCACCCACGTGCGCCTTTCCCCCGAGGAGGAGGAGGAGGAGGAGGAGGAGGAGGAGGAGGAGGAGGAGGAGGAGGAGGAGGAGGAAAAAGCCTACCGCTGTGCTTTTGTTCTGGTGCCTCGAGGGGGTCCGGGCCGGGAGGCCCCGAGCAGAGTGCGGGCGGCCCGGGGCCGGGGAGAGCCACCCGCGCCGCGCGCCTTCTGCGGGATGTCCCAAGCAGGTCGTGTGCCCCGGGGGCGTGCCGGCCGCGCGGGGCAGCGCGGTGCGGGCGGTGCTCCGGGAGGCGTGCGACTTCCTCGTCACCTCGTCCTTCGGCGCCGTGGGCGGAGCGGCGCCCGCGCAGGCCTCGTCGGGCGGCGCGGGCGCTCGGGGCGGAGAAAAAGCGGCATGAACATCAACCTCGGGCGCTCCGCGCGGATCTCCCCTATCTGCGCCTGGGGCCCCCCTGGCGGCGCTTCCGGCGCCGTCCCTGGCGCGCTCCGCGCGCCAGTGAGGGGGGTCCAGCGCGGATCCAAGAAATCGGCGCGGCGCGCCAAAAGTGTATGTTTGTGGCGGTTTTTCTTCTTCTAGAATCGCGACCGTGCCGAGCTGCTGTCGAACTGTCTCTGGTTCCTTCCAGGTTTCGCCCTGGCCCCCACGCCCATTCTCTGCAGGGCTTTGTCCCAGACAGCAGGTCTGGAGGTGGGACTGCCCCGGCCAGGGCAGGGGCAACGGCACGTCAACCCAAACTCCGACAGGACACGGCCCCTGGATAGCAGGTCGGCCAGCTCGGCTGCGCAGGCCGTCTGCGAGGGTGCCAGGCACTACCGTGCACTACCTCGCTGGTTCCCCGAGCGAGCCTGGGAACAGCCCCTGGATGCGGGACGCGCCGGCCACCGTTCGAGCTTCCGCCGCGGGCGAGCTCGGACTGCGGTGGGGGCGTTGGATGGGGAACGTGCACGGGAGGCCCTCAGGCCCTGGAGGACTCCTTATCCGACGAGGGCGGTGGTGATGTCCATGGCCGATCCACGACTGGAGCACCACTGGCTTCCAGGCCCTGGACTCCTCCTTGTCGCAGGGCCCCCTATCCAATGCCCTCGCCGCAGCATCGCCGAGCCAGGGTCAGGCAACAGGCCTGGCCGCCTGCGCTCGTGCCTGCCGTTGCCGGCCCTCCCCGGCAGTCCCCTGCCCAGGCGCGCTCCTGCTCTGCCTCTCTGTTCGCTCCCGCGGGAGCGGTGCCGGGAGGGTCAGCCCGCACATTTCTGTGGGTGCTGCGTGCGTGGCTCCGTTCTGCCACCCCCCAAAAGAGCGATGGACGAACGTGATGATTCTACAGGCTTACGCCACATCCGCCGACCCCTTCTGTGAGTGTTGCGAGGCCAGGAGTTTCTGGCCAGCGGCGTCTTGTGTGAGGGTGCGGTGTCGCGCGCGGGTGGTGGCAGATACGTAGGGGGTCCAAATGTTTGCGTGATGCCGGTGGTCTGGGGCGTGTTTTGCGAGCGCCCTGCGTGCTGTGCACCCGGGTGCGGGGGGTCCTTCTGGGAGGTCGGCCTTTCGACCCGCAACCAAGTGGAGGACCACCGGAAGACGAAAGGAGCAAGAGTGGTGTGCGGAAGTTGTGATCAGCGAGGCATCACAGCGAAAGATGTGGCAGATGAGTCGAAACGGGTGAAACGGCTGTTGGCGTTCGCAGCGCGCACGAAACAGTTTGCGCGGCAGCAGCACATTAGCGCCGAGCAAGATAGTGAGCACTTCGCGAGGAAGAGTAAGGCTGTCTGCGCGGAGTGCATTGCAGTTGGCTTCACGGCTCGCAATACGGAAGCGTCGGGGGGTCGTTTGGGTGCCTCCTGGGGGCCTCTTGGGGGCTCCTTGGGGCGTCTTGGCGGCCTCTTGGGGGCCTCTGGCGGCCTCTTGGGGCACTCTAGGGACCCTCTGGGGATCGTGGGGGCGGAACGCTAGATTTTTGAATTTTTGGTTGCCCTGTTGGGCCCCTCTTGGTGCCGTCTTGGGGCCTTCTTGGGCCGTCTTGGGGACTTCTTGGGCCATCTTGGGGCCATCTTGGGCCGTCGTGGGGCCGTCTTGGGGGCCTCTTGGGCCGTCTTGGGGAGGTCTTCGGGGCCTCATGGGCCGTCTTGGAGCGTCGGAAAGCCCACAAGGCGAATGTGTAAAACATATACGTTTTACGTTGGAGATGAGCGAACTTCTGCGTCTAGCGACCCTCTTTGGACGTATCTTGGAGGCCCCTTGGGGGCGTCTTGGGCCATCTGGAGGCCATCTTGGGTGTTTTTCATCGCTCTTGGACCGTCTGGGACCATGTTGAACTCTCTCGGAAGCCACTTGGAGCGCTCCTGGAGCGCTCTTGGGGCCGTCTTCGGGGCTCTCTTGGGCCGTCTTCGGCGCATCTTGAGCCGTCTTGGGGCCCTCTGGGGCTGTCTTGGGGCCCTCTTGGAGGCTTCTTGGACCGTCTTGGGGCGGTCTTGGGGGCCTCTTGGGCCGTCTGGGAGTGTGATTGTTCGCGGTTCCCGTATCCCCAGAAGCCGCGCCGCCTCGCAATTTTGGCTGCGCTTACTTGCTGGTCGCCACCAGCATTTCCAACGTCACCGGGTTTGGGAGTATCGGTTCTGGCTTTCCTTCTGAGTGGCTGCCCGCTCGCTCGCTTCGCTAGCCTTTTTATCCTGCTGCCTAGTCGCGGCCCGACTAGTGTTCGGACGGCTTTCGACCCGCCTCGCGAGCCTGTTGACCCCCAAAATATCCCCAGTAGCCCATCCACTATCCAGTCCCAGGCGAAGAGCTGGGAGGAGAGGGGTGTACACAAGCATACAGTGAAGCGGCAGCAACCCACAGTGTAGAATACAGAGATTTCGGAGCCTGCTGGAGGCCTCGTGGAGTCGTCTTGGAGGTCTCTGGGGCCCTCTCGGGGCCCGCGGGGGCCCTGTTGGAGCCGTCCTGGAGGCCATCGGGTCCAAAACCACACCGGTGGGGGGGTCCTCAATCGGGTCCCTCGCCATGGGGGCCGAGAGATTGGCCCCTTGGGCCCTCTCGCGGCGCTGTTGAGGGCGTTAGGCGCCGACTTGGAGCACGCCCGGGCCCTTCCTTCAGGGGTTCTCTTGTCTCTTTTGAGGCCTCGACGGCCCGTCGAAGCGAAACGGCGAGAAGGCAAACTATCATGGGACCGTTCTAGATTTCTGAAGGCTTTCGGCCTGCCCGCAGGTATCCTTAGGAGGGTCCCTGTCGACTTGGAGCGTCTTGGGGCCTCGTGGCCGTGCAAGAGCCCCCCCCGTCGGGCACGGCGTGCGGGGCCTCCGCAGCAAGCCTTTCGCCAGCCCTGCACGCTGGTCGTTGGCAGTACGGTGGGGGCATTGGATAAGGAACCCTTAGATAAGGAATCCAGGGTTTCGAGGCCGGTGGAACTTCAATCGAAGCTTGGCCAGGGATATCACCGCCGCCCTCACCAGACAAGGAATCCTCCAGGGTCTGCAGCCTCCTGGGCGCATTCCTTAACCAACGCCCCAACCGCAGGTGTTTTTGGGTTTTCGGATCCCAATCTACTTGAGGCGCCTGCCTACTTCCCTGATCGAATGGTCTCACCTTTTCCCATCCCCTTCTGTGGGTGGGCGGGAGTCCAGGCACTCCGCTTCCAACGCCTTCCTGCTCCGTGCTTCTGCCCGCTTCCTCCGACCCACGGGTAATCCTGGCTGGCACCCGCGGGCGCCCCGCACGTGGTGTTCCAAAAAAAGCCCCCCGCGGCCCCCCGCAGGTGGACGCGAAGCCGGGCGAGGCGCAGCACCGGAACCTGTCGACCTCCCCGCACACCATGCTGCTCCAGTCGGTCCTCCTGGAGATCTGCCTCCTGCTCGCGGCCGTGGTGGCCCCCCGCTACGGCCCGCCCAGCGCCCGCGCGCTGGCCGGCGCCGGAGCCTGCCCGGCCGGCCTCTGTGCGCCGGTGCTCTTCTCGCGCGAGGAAGGCGGCGGCTGCAAATGGAGCGGGAAGCGCAGGGGGGGGGCAGGCACCTGGGCTCCCTGATGCGAGGCCCCAGTGCACCGAGGCCTGCCAGATGGGGTCGGAGGATCGCGGCGCATCGCCGATGCATCGGCGATGCATCTGCGATGCGGCTCGATGTGGGGCCCCATTTTCTCCACGCCGACGTCGCCGCCGATGCATCGGCGACGTCGCCAGTGCATGGCCGATGCATCGCCGGTGCGGCGAGATCCTCTGACCCCATCTACTCGGACCACATCGAGGAGGCCTCCTAGTACAAGGATGCACGTTGCCGCTAAACAGGCCGTACTCATGGTCTCACAACGGCTGTGCTCATGCCACGCCTACGGAGACAGCATGGAGGACGACTGGGCCGTTTGCACTATCGACACAGCACAACTCCTGCACCAGTCGGGTCGGGCGAAAGGGGGGGATTGGGAAAGGGGGGGTTACGAAATTTGCTGCATGCAGCTGGTTTGGGCCCCACGGAGGGCCCACTTCCTCGATACATGGCCGCCTCCTGGCGCCGGGAGGCGCCGGGAAAATCAGCTACGTGAGCTGATTCTCAAACCCCCCCTTTGCTATCCCCCCCTTTCGCCCGACCCGAACCAGGGGATCACCACGCGTGTTTATGGGGGCTCCGGTCGCCCGCGCCTTCGGCGGTGGCTCCCCAGCGAGTGCGCGCGCGAGGCCCGCCCCTGGGCCATCCGCGCCCTCTTCCCGGGCCTCCGATGCCACGGTGCTGTTTTCGATGCCTGGCCCCAGAGGCCCCGAGATTCGAGGGCTCCCAAACGGTGCGGTGACCACACCGTGCGGTGAGTCGGTGGGGATTCGGGGTCACCGCACGGTTTTTTGGGACTCGGGTCGTTCTCCGAGGGATGTCTCGGGCGACAGGGGCCTCCCGGGTCCCAAGACCGTGCGGTGACGGACCGTGCGGTGAGGCCCCTCGGGGGCCCCGACCCCTTGTCGTGGGGGCACTTCTCTGTGCTGCCCCCAAATGTGATGGCCCCTGGACCCGATGGCGGGCCCGCAGAGGCCAGAATCGAGGAAGATGGTCGGCATTGCGAGAAGGCAGGTCGTCGGGGATCCGCTTGCCGTCGGTGTCCGTCCAGGCAGTTTTTGCCACGTTCGCAAGACAGAAGGCTCACAAGTAGCCAGTCTGCCTGCAATTCCTTACAAAATCCAGCCTGTGGTCGCCTTCGGTCTCGCTGTCCTCCTCCTCCTCCTCCTTCTTGTCCCATGCGAGCGGTAGGTCACTTCCTCGTTCAGCAGTTGAAGGCAGCTCCAGCAGAACAAAGAATGCAGGTACGCGGCCGTCGCCATGGGTATGTGGCTCAAGGCATCCCTCCCGCGCGTGATCTAATTCACCGCTATCAGGTGCAGCAAACATGTTTCCGAGAACTGAATCCTTCTTTCTCACCATGCGGTTTTCATGTTTACAGGTAGCGGAACATGATGTTCCGTGATCCACAGCTGCCGTGGCCCGCGCGACAATGCCTCGCGCCCATGGCGTCCGCTGTACATCGACGTCTATGTCGACCCGCTCGACATCCGTTTTCGCGTGCTTCTTCGTCTTCTTCTTCTTCTTCTTCTTCTTTTTTTTCTCCAGATTTTCGCTGCACTTTCAGGGGTTAGCAGTGCTCTTCCCGCCGAGCCGCCAGGACCGGCGGAGCATGAATTGTATGCGTACAAGTGCGAGGACACCTATGAGAAGGACAGTGCCCCCCGCCCACACGCCCCCCCTCGGGTACTCTCGAACTATGTCTGAGATTCTCGGGACTCCTCGTCGTCACATCACTCGCCTGTGAGTGCCGCCGTCAGTGTCAGACCGTCGTGCGATCCGACTTCTACGCCCACGGCGTCAGCGCAGGGCCCCGAGCTGTTCGCAATGGTGTTGCGGCAGCCCGGTGGGGAAGAGGCAGAATCGCATCGCCCTCATTCCGCGCGTGAAATGCTGCCAACGATTTCGAGCGTTCGTTCGATCCGACGCTGGCATCGTCGGTGTCGGCACAGCGCACCGATTTGTCTGCAACTACGTTGTGGGCACCGCGGGAGTGCGTGCAGGAAAACATCGGTAATGCAGAAGGGGGTCAGGCAATTATGTGGTCGTTCGTCCTGGGGGCCTATACTATACACATTTGGGATTACTTGTTATCGATTACCTGGATCCCAATGCATGTTCCTCGTGATTATCGTGCATTTGGCAGTGTTCAGTACAGTGACGATACGACTCGCGACGGGATCTTCCGCCACTATGTGGCAGTGTGCTTCGAGCGCAGTCCGCGCGCCAATCACACGACAAAAGAGACGTCCCAATGCTCTGATGAGGAGGAGCGCACCAGGGACATATACCCACGACGGCTTCGAGGATCACTGCCAGAACGCCGCCGTGGGTGGGTACCCGGGTTGTCGCGCGTTCTCGACAGCTGAAGGGGGCTCCAATCTGGATGGAAGGCCATCGGACTGGGCATGGTCGCTGCCGCTGGCTGCATCGCCTGCGTGGATGCGGGCGGCGGTGGTAGCGGCAACATGCGATGCTTTCGCACCTGGTGGCCCGAGCAAGAGGCTCGCGCGCCCTTTCGACGCTGGGCGCACGAGGTAATGATCCGGTTTGTGGTGAAGTCGGACCTCGACGAGTTTCGCCAAGCAGCCTGCTCGCTGGACTGGCATGTCTCGCGAATGCGTGGGCGAGTGGCCGCCGGATGTCCTCATCCGAGGTTTTCATATCAGCGGCGCCCCAGTGCCGCCCATGACCTACCTTAACCGCAGGGGTTCTCGTGCGCGATGTTCGAGTGGTGCGCCTGCAGTGCCGACGCAACGTGCGCGAGGCATGCCACCTGCAGGTTTTGCAGGGCACCGATACCACCTGGTGTGCTGCTTGGCGTGCCGAGCCCGGCTGACGTTATCGCTGAGTTCCGCTTCGTTGGCGCGTTACGTATTGAAACGAGTCCGGCAATTTTGTTGCCGGCTCGTGCGGCAGACCCTGGCACTGTCTAGTGCCCGTGGTGCCGGCCCGGCCGAGGCCGGGCGACAGCGTGCCAGAGGAGATGCCGCTAGTGCAGGACACCGTCCCGAGTCCTCGGCCCGTGCCGACGCCCGGGGCCGCAGCAGGATCGTATGCAGTCAATCCCCATGGCAGTGCGTTAAGTCTTGCGCCCGTTGCCGACGTGGCAGTGCCGTGCGACGCCCGCCTTGACTTGCGTGCTTCGCCGCGCCGACCGACGTTCCCGTGGTGTCTGGCCGACGAAGCCATGGGGTCCAGGCTTCAGCCCGCCCAGGAGGGGCTGGCGCCCCCGCCCCGCGCAGCAGGCGTGGGCAGCGGCTTGCAGGTTGCCCGTGCGGGGGGGCATTGCGATATCGCGCTCACCATTCGCGACGGCGCGACCACTCGGCGCAGCTTGCGCCCTCCTGCGCTGGAGGGCGACGACTTCGATCGCCCTGCTCAGCTCGGTCTGCAGTCCATGCGCTGCAACGACGGGATTGAGGAGACAGGCGTAGTGCGCGAAATCCGCGCGTTTCCCCGGTCCTCGAAGCTGAAGTCAATTGGGGCCCAGGCACCATGCAATCAGCTCCAAGTGGTCATCTGTTGATATTTGCGCAGATAACTTTGACTGGCGCCGACCGCCGCCCTGGGGGGCCGCCGCCCAGACGGCTCGCGCTACTAGCAGTGGGCAGCGTCCACCAGGACAACGACGCCAACGGCGTGCGCGAGTTAAAAAAACATCAGTATGCAGCTTCTCATTTCCGACGCACAAGTACCAGTGCGGGGCGCGCCGCAGGCGGCAGGCTACGACCTATTCGCCTGTTCGGACGTCAGTATCGTGGCCTGTGGTCGCGAACTGGTGTCTACCGGTGTGGCCGCTCTAGCACTGCTGGGCGCCTGCTTGCGGGTCGCCCCGCGCTCGTGGCCAGCCATCCAGGGGCGTCGACGTCGCGGGCGGAGTGGTGGGCCCTGGCTACCGCGACGCTAGCCCGCGAACGTTCGCGGTCGAGCAGGGCCAGAGGGCGGCCCGCCTCAGCCTGGAACGCATCTTCGCGGACTCCGATATCTTGGTCATTGCCAGCGTTCCGCCATCTTCCCGCGGCTTTTGGGGCTTTGGTCGCGCCGGCATGGCGCGCCTCAGCTGCCACCCCGTCCCGCAGGATACGGGCGCGACAGCGCCGGCAGGGTCAGCCGGCAACAGCGGTGTCGACAACCCCAACCAGCGCCCCCAGTAGGAGGAAGACGGTCGGCCCGCAGGTAGAAGCGGGCAGCAGGGCCAGAACGTTGCGCCTCGGCCGTGGAGAGAGGACAGGACACTTCACTAGCATTAGAAAAGCACGGCATTGGCGTCATCTGCGCCGCCAACTTCGAGGGCGCCGTCGCGGCGCTAGCTGACCTCGAATTTCCCAGGAACGGGGCTCGTCTTATTCTCGAGTCCCCTCCCGACAGGTGTCCGCGAGTCATGGGCTTGGGCGCCGGAATCGTTGCGCGCGGCGCCGCGGCCAGCAATGAGATCGACCGCCAGTGCGACGGATAGTCGAAGCACTTGTGCTCCGCCCGACTCAGCACGGGGCATGCCGCGAGCCCTAGGTCCCACGGGGCCAGGCACATCAGAGCAGTTTTCACGGGGCCTGCTGGCGCACCCATATGCAACCGGCTGTGCAGGTGCAACGAGCTCACGGAGCGCGCGCGGGCGACTGGGCGATCATCGGCCAGAATGTACATGCCGCTTTGATGTGCCGCGAGGTTTCGCGCCGCGCGCCATGCCGCAGTTGCCTTTGAACAGGCGCGGGTTGGACGCGAGCCGCGCCTTCGACGAGGCGCGGCGGCAGTCAGCGCGCCAGACTCGAACGCGTCTTCCAGTCCCGCGACTACGCGCCACCGTGACGCCGAGAATCGCACCTGGCGCCGCAACGCCAAGCACCGCGCCGACGAACATCCCTCGCAGTATATTTCCAAGGCGACTGGACCGGGCACCCTGGGGGGTTTCGAACAATTATGTCGCCAGTGCCTTTCTGGCCGCCAAGCGACAGGTGTCCGACTGCTGCGTTGTCGGCGCCCACCCTGCAGCAGAGTGCATGCGCCAGAACGCGATGGTAGAGGAGGGCCGCGTGCCTGAGGCTCGCAAGCAGGTTGTGTAGGTTCACCGCGACGAACGCGGCGCCGATCGCGCAGGTCTTGCCTCGTATCGCCTGGGTTTTCAAGCCGTTGGCGAGCTGGGTAGCCCCGGCGAGTGCGACGACGACGACTTCCAGGGCAGCCCCGCCTCAGGCTTGCCAACTTGGTGGTTTCGGAGCTCGTCGGCCCAGGCGGTGCCTCGCCATCTGGCGAGTGCTCGAACAATGGCCGAGGGCAGTTGCATCGACAGTTCTCTATGTCAAACGTCACGGTCCAGCGAGTTCGACGCCGTGCAAAACCCCCTCACTTATCTCGCCTGCATCGATCACGGCACCGACATCGTGGGGAGATCCGGTGGGGGGGCGCGGACCAGCCAACTCGCTGTCCGCCGCCAGCTCAGGGCGGGCGCCGACTTCGACTTCGTCGCGGGCTGTGACCTCGGCGACGAGAGCCAGCGGATAGCCGTGGAGAGATGCAACCGATAATGTCGGCCCCCAGTGGCCGCCGTGCCTTCCGCCTGCCGACCTCTCGGCCGTCGAGCTGCCTTCAACTGCGATCCTGCGAGGATGCAGCGCCTCATGGGCGATTCTGCGTCTAGATGGCCCAGCTACAGCTATAACTCGGCGGCTATTTCGTCAACGAACAGCCCGACCCATCGTGGCTGTGCGCCGGGCCGCTCTGGCCAGACATGTTGCCAACGCCAGGCGTGCGCTGGGTCATTTTCGACCAGTAGTGCCAGGTGGGAATTCGACATGGGTATTTCGAGACAGACCATCGGCCTTGTCTCCAATGCCGTGGGGATCTTCGGGCAGCTCGCGTGCCTCAATTGCACCGCAAGCGCGCGCGTGCGCGTTGTGGGCCACAGCGGCGCCGACGCGCGATCGCCCTGCTCGCTCGCGAGCTCAGCGTGTGCAGGTTCGCGGACCCTGGCGCGCGGCCGCGCGGCCGCGCCGGTTAACCCCTGGGAGCGCTGGCGCGATCTGGAGGACGGCGCCTCGCAGGCGATCGGCAAGCAGAACTACCTGGAGGAGCTGACCCCAGAGCAGCAGGCGCAGCTGAACTGCCGTTGGCGCATGCGGATCCACCGGGTCTCGTGCGTGGTCAGAAGTCATTGGGGGACTGTCTGGGCTGCAGCCGCAGTCTGGTCACCTGGTGCTTACCTCGGAACTCCAGCAACGTTCGCCAGCTGCATTTGGGCGGCGCCAGGCTCGACGCCCACATCCTCATCGGCGAGCAGTGGTAAGACGCTCGCATCATCCTGTTTGCCTCGGTGACGAACAGCTACTATCAGCCGACTCCGGGCAGGAGTGGGGCGAGGCGTTCGATGAAGGCGTCGTCGACGCTCCCGAGGGCGCCGCCGGCGTCACCGAGGGTGGTTCGCCATCAGCCCTGTCGGTGAAGCCAGACGTGGCCGACAGCGATGTCTCCGGCCACGTCCAACAAATGATGTTTCCCGCCTGGCAGCGGGTCGAGGGCGCGGAGGATCTGGCCCGGGAGTTGCGTGGGCTGGAGGGCCCCGACATCCAGCAGATGGTCTGCGCTACCGTCGAGCACGCGGCTGCCAGTGTAGGCCGCAGGCCGCGCGAGTGGCCTTTGCACCTGGCAGCTCCGCGCCAGCATCAGTATATTGACGCGCAGTGCCACTACTACCTGCGCATCGCCTCCTTGGACGACTGTGCCGAGCTTGAGGAGGAGTGGGGGGGGGTGGAGAAGGAGGAGGAAGGAGAAACGCCCGTGGAGTTATACTGGGACCCAGTATTGCCAGAAGCGTTCCTGAGCTGCTGCGGGGGCAACTATGTTGCCGGCGCGTCCACAGCGGCCGTGCTTCAGGTCTACGCCGCTGTCGAGGCCGCGGCGATGAAGCGCGACGCTGGTCTCCTCACCAAGGAGGAGGTGTCGAGGCTGACCAAGGAGGTGGCCGCCGCCATCGTCGAGGAGCTCACCATCTGGGTCAAGTGCAAGTGTTTCGAGCGGCGCCCTCTCGCGGGCGCTCGGAACGCCGTGGTCTCCGGGGTTCCAGGCGCGCGTTTAAATCGAAGCGGCGGAAGGGGTCGGGGGGCAAGACCGTCGGAGTGATCTGGCGCCGCGCGGCGCAGCGTGGTTTCTGCAACAGGGGCGCCGGGGCCCTGGGGGCTTTCGCGGGCGCGGCGAAGCGGGCGTCTCAGCGGGTTCTGTCTCCAGAGGCGGGTCGCCGCCCAGACCAGTTGTTCGTCGCAGTGGGCGTCGAGGCTGCTTTCTTGCAGGGCATATTTTATGCGGAGAGGCAGGGGCAGGGCGAAGCGCCAGGGGGGGTGAACTTCACCCTGCCACTCGGCAGTGCTGCCATCGGCAGGCGGGTCCCAGGCTGCGAGTCCCTCGTGGGCACGGTTTGCAATGATGCGCCCAGAGCTTCCTCCGTGGAGCTCGCTGGGGCTACCCGCGCGCTCAACTTCAGCGCCGAGCCGACGCGGTCGTGCGCGGGGCCTGATGTCATTCGCAGGGCGTCCGGTACTTGTGGTGCTGGCGGCTCAGAGCAAGTGCTATTCCTGTCCAAGCACGTTGACGACTTGAGGTCGCTTGACACAAGGGGCGCGTGGGCCGGCGGATCCTCCGCGTCGACAGCGTCTTCGGCAGCGTGAAGGTCGACCGCGACGACTTCACCGACTGCGGTGCCCTGCAACGTCGCAGTGCCGACGGTGCAGTGACGCTCGACCAGGGCGTGTCTGTCGACGCGCTGGTCTCCGTGAGACGGGGTGCGGCATGCGTGGCTCCGTATGCGCGCGTCAGGGCAAGTGCTGCAATATTGGTCAACAGGAACAGTTCTGCCACTTGTTCGACGCAGCTAGCCTATCGCGCAAGCTTGTGTGCTTATCATCGTTCGGCACTGAGCTGCCCGCAGCGCGTGGAGCGGCATTCGGCCCGCAGGCGTGCCGCTCCGCGAGATGGTGCGCGGGCCCGCCTCCGCTGCTGCAGTCGGCAGGCTGCGCGAGGAGGGTGGTGGCGCTGTGCTCGCCGCCTTTGCCATGGACCACGCGCGGCCGCTATCGGAGAATAGTGTGGCGGGCCACCTTTGATGGCTAGCAGACCATCTGCGCGCCAAACAGTTATCTGAAATTTTGTGGTGCGACGCCCGCGACATGAGGGCCGAACTCATGACGGGGTAGAGTGTCGGCTGGGAGCTTAGTCTCGACATCATGGATGGGAAGCTCGCCGATGAATAACCAACAGTGAGGTTGAGCGAGGAGTGGCGCAACAAATCGGTATCGAGCTGTCGCCGCAGCGACCTGAACAGGGACATTGGCGGTGTTGGGTAACCCTTTCGGTGTCACATGCCCGAACTGTGTTTGCGAATGCGACGCAGTACATCAAGGAGAGAAGTACGAAGGTACTCGCATGCCACGAAGTATGTTTACGAGTGCGACGTAGTGAGCCACGCAAGCGAGGGACTGTTACCATGAATTGTTTATGGAAGAGCAGGCTGGTGAACGTTGAGCGCGCGATTTCTGTATTCTGTGCTTCACCGATAGTCAGCTGCCAGTCTTTCTGTTCAGTCGTGACAGTAAATTTTTATGGGGGGCCTTGTCATCAGAAGGTCCCCTGAGCAGTGCAATTGCTCATGGAGGTGGTGGTCTGTGCAATCCCCCGCTCTGCCCCATTTAGCACTGTAGTTGTTCACTGTGGCTAATCTGTCGGGTGCCAGTGGTGGCCTGGTTTGTTTGCGTCTTGGCTGCCAGTGTAGCACAACGGACCTGTTCGAGCCCCAGACTCGGACGGTACGTCACCTCGTCGTTAAGCATGTTAAGGCACTTGTAGCATGGCAGGGAACACGAGTACGCGGGGTCGCCGTGGGCATTTGGCTCAAGGCATGCTTCCCGCGCCCGTTGTAAGTACCGCCATCAGACACCGGTATAATACCTCCGAAAAACGATTTTTTCCCCACCGCACGCTTTACATTTATAGTATGTTCATCCCCCTGCTTCCCCCATCCCTTTTCACTCCTCCGAAACCGTTTTTGGCACCTGTGCTGCCCACCGGCTTGCCGACGTAAGAATCGACCAGGTCGTCGGAGGCTGGACCCCTTGCCTCCGCCGAGGAGTATCGCTACCGCGAGTGGCCCAGGGGTGGCGGCCAGGCCGCCGCAGACGCCGCTGGGACCGCGGGCGAGCTCCCGCCCGCGTCCGGCGGCACCGAGGCCCCGCCGTCGGCGGCGCACGCGCCGGCGCCGGGCTGCACGGCGCCGCTGCCGCTGCTGAGCGCTTTGCAGGAGGTGCTGGAGGACTTGGAGGGCGCTATTGATATGTGTATGTATGTATGTATGTATGTATGTATGTATGTATGTATGCATGCATGCATGCATGCATGTATGTATGTATGTATGTATGTATGTATGTATGTATGTATGTATGTATGTATGTGTGTATATATTTATACATATGTATGTGTGTACGTACATGGTTGTGTGTATGTACATGTCTACGTATAACTATGCATATGCATAAATATGTATACGCACATTTATTCGTGTATGCATATGTGCATGCATGTGTTTAGGCACATATCTTTGCATATGTACATGCATATGTTTGTGAACATGTAGATGTAAACGTGTCAGCATGTGGATATAGCTATATGCTTCTATATATATATATATACACATGCGTCCGCATAGTTATTTGCATGTGTGCATGTATATTCGATTGTCCGTGTGTAGGTGCATATTTATGTATCTGTGTGTATGTGTATTGTTATATATTTAATGCATGTACATATTTATGTATGTATCTATGCATCTCTATGTGTATGCATGTCTTTAGATGTATGTATGTATGTATGCTTGCATGCATGCATGCATGCATGCATGCATGCATGTATGTATGCATGCATGTAAGTATGTATGTATGCATGTATGTATATATTTATGCATGGATGTATGTATGTATGTATGTATGCATGCATGCATGCATGCATGCATGCATGTATGTATGTATGTATGTATGTATGTAATTATGTATGATTGTATGCATGTATGTATGTATGTATGTATGTATGTATGTATGTATGTATGTATGTATGTATGTATGTATGTATGTATGTATGTATGTATGTATGTATGTATGTATGTATGTATGTATGTATGTATGTATGCTTGTGTATGTATGCATGTATGTATCTCCAGATCTCACGGGGACCGCACTCTACTACTCGCAAAGTGCCTACTCGCCGCATTTCAGAGACAAGAACGCTCACCCCGCTTCACCAGCACCCTCAGTACCCGCCTCCTCCTTGACCCGGCCGACCCTGGCCCGGCCGACTCTGTCCAAGGCCAAGGGGGTCCCTCCCACGAGTCTGGCCACGCCGCCGATTGCCAGGGTGGGTGCGGGCGTCGAGTCGGCGCCCGCCTCCCCGGGAGGTGGTCGGCGGCGAGCCCCGTGGGGAATTCCGAGGGGGGCGGGCCTGCTTGGCAGGCTCGGAAGGCTTCGGGCCTCCAGAGAAGCTCTCGCAGCCTCCTCCGAGGACAGCGGGACCCGCTCAGAAGGCGCGGGGGTTTTTGAGAAACACCGCCGCCTTCTGAAAGGGCGTGCCCCCTCCTTCTCCTCCTCCTCCTCCTCCTTCTCGTCCTTCTCGTCCTCCTTCCTTCCGCCTGTTCCTCCTCTTCCTTTTCCTCCCTCCTCCATCCTCCTCTTCCTCCTCGTCTTCCTCACTCGAATGGGATGCCTCGCTGCTATCTGGGCTCGCAGGTCTGGAGCACATGTATCTGATAAGGTAAGCCAAATCCTCCTTGCTGCCATAATCAATTTTCTCTTACCGCCAACCCCAGCTCGCAATCCTAGTTCGTAGCAGAGCTGGGAACGATCCCAATTCGCCATCCATGGAAGACGCGAAGAGTGCGATGCAGACGCAGTGTCGGTCTTCTCTCACCCTCCACACTGGTACCACCCTTCAGTCCCTGAGCAGCCCGTGTTTCCGAGGCCAGTGCCTACGACCGCAAGTGGCCCCGAGATCGGTGTACCGTCCCTTGGCAGACAGACGGCCTGGTCGAGGGGTAAGCAGACCCAGGAGGCAACAAGGCCCGTGCCCGACGCTGGCGCTGGAGCGTCATCGCTATACCGCACCACCAGGCCAGTGCTTGGGTTGAGATTGCGCGCGGCGGTGCTGGCCTGCGTCTTTGCCAGCACGCTGCGCCCTCCGAGCGGCTCCAAGCTGGTTGATGCTACATACCTGCGCGCAGCAACGAGGGCTCCGGTACTGCTACGACTGCTCCAGGTGGCAAAATGGCCCTGGACAGGACCGAGTCCCCAGGCTCTCGACACGGAAATCCGTACCGACACATCGTTTCGTTCGGAGGATATTGAACCTGGTACTGCTGGGCAGTATCCTCATCTCCTCCGTGGTCGCTCTGCTCTGGCTCCTCTGCAGGGTGCCAGGGGCTGGGCATGGCGGAGGCGGCGGTTGGGGCGGCATCACGTCTCGCCAGCCACTCTCCTGGTCAATCCGCGTGTCCCACCTCGGTCTACCAGGCTACGAACTCAGAGGAAGCCGTCGCTATGGCCTCCACGTGGGGCCACGGGGTCGATCTTTGTGAGCTGTGCGGGGGCGAAGCCCGCGCTTCGCAGATTGTTATGCTGCGCCGTCGACTCAGGACGGGCGAGAAATCCGACCTGGTGACCGCCAGCGACCTGGGTGATCCACAGGAACAGTATTTCTTTTCGAGGACATCAGGTCCAATAACGGTCTGGTAACGGTTATGGCACCACCATGCCGCAATACTGGACCTCCAAGTGGTCCCGACTATCGTATCAATCGTGAGAGTTGGAGGGCTCACTGTGATGAAGACTCCCCTACCTCGTGTTCTGCGGCCAGGTGGCGATTCTGTGTGTATGTATGTATGTACGTATGTATGTATGTATGTATGTATATTATATATAGATTATGTATAGATATACACATCGGACGGCCGAGCCCTATTTGGCTCAGTACCGTGCCTCCTTGGAAACACATCTTATATCATCCACGGGTGGGCGCCTTGGTATTCGACCAGTGTCAGCTGGGCGCCAAGGGCCCAGGCGGCATCCCAGCCAAGAAGCGCTCTCTGGCCATCGCTAACGCACCACATCTACTCACGCCGCTTCGCAAGTTACGGTGCCCCGGCAACCGCGACCACGACGGCACTTGGGGCCAGGCCCAACACGCCAAGAAATTTCAGGCTTGGCCCTTGCGCTTGGCACAACGCGTGGTGCGAGGCACAGTTGTGCTCAGGACCTCGATAGACAGCTTGGCCGCTCTCTTGGCTGAGCTCTACTCGGCTGCAGGTTCAGCCATGCTCGCCGCCGCAGCTGGCGGCTCGTGGCCAGTTCAAACCAGCCCAGCGCGTTCGAGGGCCCGATGCTGGCCTTGGACGCCCAGGCCGCTGAGCGCCGTCCTCGGCTTCGTTTTCGCTCGCCCAAGCCGAGGAGCATGTCGCCCAGCCCAGGGCCAGTGGTCAAGCTGTCCCTGCCCCCCTGCACCGCCCCAGGTCTTGCTGCGCTAGCGCCTGGTTCGCAGCCCGCTGGCGTGCGCCCGTTCTGGCTCGCCGCGGGGCCCCGGGCGCCCGTCGGCAGCGGCGGCCAGGCGCAGTGCGTTCCGCAGTGCCAGAAGGGCAGCAGGGACGGCAACGACATTAGCAAGAAGGCGGCGGAGGCTTCCGCGGCCGAGCCCGGGAGGGCTCCCCAAGAGTGCGCGCCGCGGTGGCCCCCGGGGGCAAGAAGGCGCGGGACGCGGAGCGGGCGGCAGCGTTAATTAGTCGACCACGCGCGGAGGTGGGCATGGGGCGGGGCTTCTTTGAAGCGCCCCTGCTTCTGAGATGGCGCATCCCCTATCATGGATGTGGTGCCGCGCCTGCAAAGTGGCAGCCTCCTTCCCCCTCGCGCCCCCCCCCCCCGTGCGTGCCGCCTATTGAATGCGAAGGCGGACGTGGCCGCCGACGCCGGCGGGGGCGCGACGACGACAAGGCCGCCGACGCCAGCGAGGAGAAGGACGACGAGGAAAAGGCCCGCCCGCCGAGGACGCGGGGGAGTCCGCCGCGGACGACGCCGCCGCGGGCTCGGACCGTCCTCGCACCGCGCTCGTGGACAGCGGCGCGGCGAGGCGCAGGACATCACCTGCTGCGCTCCCTCAAGGAAGCCCTAAATTTTCTTCCCCCGCTCCAATCTACCAGTCGAAGGTCTCGTCGCATCCCCGTCCCATCTTCCTCCTGGGTCGTGCGTCGCAACAGGTCGAGCTTCGCTCGGTCATTCGGTCGTTTTGACCGCGACGCACGGTCCCCGCGTGCACACATTCGCGGCGCATGGCAGTTCGCCTCGCGCCTGCTCAGGCGAGCTGCTTTGTGCCGTTACTACGAGCGCGAGCGTTCTTGCTGAGTCTAGTCGGTGAGCACGCGTTCCGTCGCGCCTGGCGCGCGCCCCCCAGGTAGCAGCCTGGTATTCTGTACGGGCTGGGAATGTGCACGGGGATTGGACTGTTTTGGCATTCCCTCTTTCTCCTTTGCTCCACCAGAGCTGTGCGATCGCCCGCGCAAGCTCCAATTCCAATCTGGTGCTTCGCTTCGGTCTGGGCTCACGTATCTGGAGAGCATGCATCTGGTAAGGTTGAGAGGGTCCATGTTGCCGCCGTGTTTTCTTCCTGCCGCCCCCCCCCAGAATTCTGGTTCCTCTTTTTCTTCCTCCCTCCTCCCTCCTCCTCCTCCTCCTCCTCCTCCTCATAACCTCCTCCTCCGTTTTCCTCTCCTCCTCCTCATCCCCCTCCTCCTGTCTTTCCTCTCTCCTCCTCCTCCTCCCTCCTCCTCCTCTTGTCATTCTCTTTATAGATAACCCCCTCTCACCCCCCGGGGGCTCGCCGACCGAGGAGGGGCACGAGGCGGGCGGCGGCGCGGCGCCCATGGCCGGCCCCGACGGGGCCCGCCCGTTGCGGCGGCGGTCGAGGCCGAGGACGAGGGCGACGCGCCGCGGGCCCTGAGGCGCGGCCCCCCGTCGGTGTCACCAATTTTCCCCACATGCTTCGTGGGGTTCTGGTTTTCTTCCCTGCCGCGCCGCACCCGCGTTCACCTTCACCTCCTCTTCTCTCCTCCCCTTCTCACACAGCGCAGCACAGCACAGCACAGCACAGCTCAGCACAGCTCAGCTCCAATCAGCACAGCACAGCTCAGCTCAGCACAGCTCAGCTCGGCACAGCACAGCACAGCACAGCTCAGCACAGCAGAGCACGCAGGGCTAGCGCGCAGGGCACGGCAGGCGTGACCGCATCGCACCACACACACACACACACACACACACACGTCAGAGATCGTGGCAGGCCCCACATAGAGGGGCACGTGGCAGGCGCGGCAGTTTCTCGACACCAGAGGGGGTGCGCAAGGGGTGGTCTCTCAACGCGGCCTCTATGCGTGCCAGGGTCGGAGAGCGTGGCAGGCGTTGTACTTTCTCGACACCATAGGGGGTGCGCAAGGGGTGGTCCCTCAGCGCGGCCGCTATGCACGACGGTCGTCCAGTGCATAGCAGGCGTGGCATTTTCTCCACACCTTAGGGGATGCGCAGGGGGGGATCCCTCACCGCGGCCGCTATGCACGACGGTCGTCCAGGGCATAGCAGGCGTGGCATTTTCTCGACACCATTTGGGGTGCGCAGGGGGTGGTCCCTCAGCGCGGCCGCTATGCACGACGGTCGTCCAGTGCATAGCAGGCATGGCAGTTTCTCGACACCATAGGGGATGCGCAGGAGGTGGTCCCTCACCGTGGCCGCTATGCACGACGGTCGTCCAGGGCATAGCAGGCGTGGCACCTTCTCGACACCATAGGGGGTGCGCAGGGGGTGGTCCCTCACCGCGGCCGCTATGCACGACGGTCGTCCAGTGCATAGCAGGCGTGGCATTTTCTCGACACCATTGGGGGTGCGAGGGGGTGGTCCTATCGCGGCCGCCCCGGCAACTATGCACGACGGTCGTCCAGGGCATAGCAGGCGTGGCATTTCCTCGACACCATAGGGGGTGCGCAGGGGGTGGTCCCTCAGCGCGGCCACTATGCACGACGGTCGTCCAGTGCATAGCAGGCGTGGCATTTTCTCGACACCATAGGGGATGCGCAGGGGGTGGTCCCTCACCGTGGCCGCTATGCGCGCCAGTCGTCCAGGGCATAGCAGCGACACCATAGGGGGTGCGCAGGGGGGGTCCCTCAGCGCGGCCACTATGCACGACGGTCGTCCAGGGCGTAGCAGGCGTGGCATTTTCTCGACACCATTGGGGGTGCGCAGGGGGTGGTCCCTCACCGCGGCCGCTATGCACGACGGTCGTCCAGGGCATAGTAGGCGTGGCATTTTCTCGACACCATAGGGGGTGCGCAGGGGATGGTCCCTCAGCGCGGCCACTATACACGACGGTCGTCCAGGGCATTGCAGGCGTGCCACTTTCTCGACACCATAGGGGGTGCGCAGGGGGTGGTCCCTCACCGCGGCCGCTATGCACGACGGTCGTCCAGGGCATAGCAAGCGTGGCGCTTTCTCGACGCCAGGCGGGCTGCGCAGGGGGTGGTCCCTCAGCGCGGCCACTATGCACGACGGTCGTCCAGGTCATAGCAAGCGTGGCGCTTCCTCGACGCCAGACGGGGTGCGCAGGGGAACATTCGCGACGAGGGCTCAGAACGCAGAATTGCGCATTTATTCAAAACTTGAGCAACCACATAAGATTCAAATTAAGTATGTGGGGTTCCTCGGTAGCGTATTTTTTTTGTCGGCGGCGAGGCACAAGTGCTGCTCCAGCGGGCAGGCGATCGGGGCAACCGATATGCTATGTGGCCGGCGTGCAAAAGGGGGGGGAACACAAATAGGACGGCCGAAAAGGACGGGGGGTGGAGGCGGAAACCATTCAGACGCAGAAGAATTCCGAGCTGAGCGCACCAGCGCGGCCATCAGCGGCAGCGGGGGCCGTGGCAGTTGCCGTGCCACCCAAACACGCTTCTGCCATCTGTGCGTCGCCTCCACAAGGGCGACGCGTGCGTTCACAACTTCTATAGGACGTAATCGGTGGCGGGCGCTTTTCTGACCATGCCGCTGGGGTAACGATGTGCTGGACTGTAGTTGTGGTGTCATCATCTGATCGGACGCGCGCCTCCAATGAGGACGCATCTAGGGCACAGGTGTCCTTCTGCGTCCCATCCTGGGAAATTGTTGACGCTTCGGCGATCAGCAATCAGCTGCCGCTCCCCTTCCTCCTTGTTCCCTGCATTTGCGGCGATCAGCCGCCTGGTCCTACGCCTTTGCCAGGGGAGTCGTCTGGCAGGTGCCTCTCCACGTCGTGCCTCGCATTGGAGCCTGGGGTGGCGCATATCGTTGTGGGCCCCCCGTGGCAGGGGTGGTGGACGTCCGCCCGGCTGCTCCCTGGGGCGGCGGTCAGTGAGCTTTGGTGTCGCTCCTGGTCGTCACTGAGTTGGCATTTTCCTATGAACTGTCGCAGCTGCCGCTGTGTCTGGCGGCTGGCGGCTGGCGCGCTGCCGGTGTGCTGGCGCTGACGGCGTCCCCCTGTCCGTCAACCTCGTGATGACCGCAAAGGTTCATGGTGATGGGGTTCGGCATGGACTTGCTGCTGATTCCGCCAGGGACCCCCTCATTTGCTTAAGGCGTCGACGGCACGGTCTCCTTGGCGAAGCTCGCTGCGGGCAGCTGGCCGCTGTGCTGCTGGCCGCCCGCCGCTCCCCGCGCGGGGCACCCGTTGTGGTGGCGCTCCGCACCCTCTTGCACGGCTTCCCCGTGCCTGTCATCTCAACTGCCTCCAGGTGTTGGCGCGCGGGGCGCCCTGATGGCTGGTCGCGTTGCTTGGCCGCTGCTATCGTGCTGCCCTGCCTGGTGAACCTTTGGTTATCTTCGTGAAGGTCCACACTGCCCCTGCACTGGGGAACCCTGGCTCCTCGAAAAAGTCTTGGAGCGGCCGCAGCCCGTCCGCTTTTTGGGTCTTCCGCGCGGCCCTCATCTACGCGAAGGTGGTTGAACTTCGGCGGTGTCTGGAGGTCGCGTTCTCCGTGACGGTCTACACCACCCTTTCCGTGGGGTGCCCTCGCACTCCTTGGGGGAGGTCTTGGTGTGGCCGCAGCCTGGAGGTCGTGGTGTCCTCCCTGGTTCTCTTCTACGTGCAGGTGGTCGCTCGCCCACGCGGGGCCTGGAGGTCGTTTCATCTCGGCATCGTCGCTCTTGTGCGAAAGCCACGTGTTCGGCAAAATTTCCCGGGGACCAGATTTCCCACCTTCGCCGCCGCCTTCCTGGGTAAGCGTTGCGCTCGGGTCATCCTTCTCCGCCGTCGAGTTCATTTGCCTTGGCATCTCCGCCGGCACCTTCCTCGCGTTCTTGGTGCTGCTCTGAGTCGCCTTCGCGCCATTTTGGCCGCCCGTGTTCCGCCCCGCACCTGGTGCTGCTCGTTGCTTGTTTCCCGCAGCCGGTGGCATGGCCTGCCCCTGCTCGCCGGGCGTTCGACCTGCTTCGCGCGCCCCTTCGTTCGTGTTTTTTTTTTTTTTTATTTTTTTGTTTTTTTTGTTCGTTTTTTCTTTTTTTTTTTTTTTTTTTTTTTTTCCGTTTTTTAGTTTTTTTTTTTTTCGTGTTTTTTTTTTGTTTTTTATTTTTTTCTTCTTTTTTTTTTTTTCTCGATGCCAAAGACATGACCAACCAACCATCCAGAAAACGTATGTACAGGGGAGCTGAGGTGATTACGGAAGTGGGGGATCATGCAGATAGACCAAACCGTCTGAACAAAAGGGGGAGCGTGGAGGATTTAGCGTCGTTCGTCGTCGTCGTCGTCGGAGGGGGAGGAGGAGGAGGAGGAGGAGGAGGAGGAGGAGGAGGAGGAGGAGGAGGAGGAGGAGGAGGAGGAGCGAGGAGGAGGAGGGGTGAGGACGAGAGGGGAGGAGGAGGAGGGGAGGAGGAGGAGGAGGGAGGAGGAGGGGGAGGGGGGAGGGGGGAGGGGGAGGGGCCAGGGGAGGAGGAGGGGAAGAGGAGGAGGGGAGGGGGGGAGGAGGAGGATGAGGAGGCGGAGGAGGGAGGAGGAGGAGAAGAAGGGGAGAAGCAAAGGAGGAGGAGGAGGAAAGAGGAGAAGAGGGGAGGAGGAGGAGGCGGAGGAGGAGGAGGGGAGGAGGAGGAGGAGGAGGAGGAGGAGGAGAAGGGGAAGGAGGAGGAAAAGGGGGAGGAAGAGGGAGGAGGAGGAGGAAAAGGGGGAGAAAGGCGGAGGAGGAGGAGGAGGAGGAAGAGGAGGAGGAGGAAGATGAGGAGGAGGAAAAACATGAAGATGATTATGATGATGTTGATGATGATGATGATGCTGATGATGCTGCTGATGATGATGATGATGAGGAGGAGGAGGAATAGGAGGAGGAGGAGGAGGATGAGGAGGAGGAGCAGGAGGAGGAGGAGGAGGAGAGGAGGAGGTGGAGTAGGGCGAAAACGAGGAGGACGAGAAGGAAGAAAAGGAGGAAAAGGAAAGAGAGTTGGGTACCTCGGGGATCCTCTGGAGGCCTCGTACGGGGTCTGTTGGGGGCCCCCTTGGAGGCGTCTTTGGGCCGTCTGGGCGTCCCTTGGGGCCTGTTGGGGCGCTCTTGGGAGCTTCAGGGGCGCTCTT